TTTTTTTTTTTTTTTTTTTTTTTTTTTTTTTAGCAGAATAGTTTTTTCCCTTTGAGCTGGCGAGGGAGCGTACTTTTATACAAATAAATAAATTACTATGCTTCATTGCGCTTCATTTATCTGCGATGCTTTTGAATCCGTGAGCCTCGATATGGTTGTGTGTGGTGTGGATTCTCCGCCTCGCAATTTGTTCATTTTTAATCATGAACGCGTTTATCAGTTTCGCTCTCACAAGGGACCAAGTTCCACGTGACCAGATCCAGATCCAGATTCTTCGGTCCTCGCCGTTGATTTTCAGTATCGAAGGTCAGGGGTCGAGAATTTGGGTTAGTCGAACTCGAGCCTAGGTAAACTCATTTCCTTTTTTTGCTTTAATTTATTCGTTTTTTCTTTTTTTTTCCCGGCTGTCAATTCTGTTTTGGTCTTGGTCGCAGTTTTGTTCTTTTGATCATGATGAATGCGTTTATCAGTTTGTTCTCACAAGCTAAACTTCAGCTCGGCATTTTCTGAGGCCTTTCTTCGCTTCGTCTTCGCTTCGTCACATTGAATGGGGTACTGCGGAGAGCATAGACAGGGATCAAAGCCGGGTGTCAATTCTCTTGCGACATTGGGTCTTCGTTTATTGAAAGTCGGGTTAGCCTGGCTTTTTGGGTTCAGCCTCCTGATCAGTCGGTGAAACTCCGACGAAACAGTTTGTCACAGCCCCTCGTTTGTTGTCTTCTTCTCTCTCTCTGCCTACGGTTTACCGGGCAGTTCTGTTTGTGACTATAAATATATTTATATATATATATATATATATACCCCTCGTTTGTTGTCCTCTTCTCTCTCTCTGCCTACGGTTTACCGGGCAGTTCTATTTGTGACGATATATATATATATATATATATATATATTTGTGACGATATATATATATATATACTTTGTGGATTGACTGTGCGCGTATACATACATACATACATACATACATACATACATACATACATACAGACAGACAGACATATATATATAACTCCGACGAAACAGTTTGTCACAGCCCCTCGTTTGTTGTCCTCTTCTCTCTCTCTGCCTACGGTTTACCGGGCAGTTCTGTTTGTGACGATATATATACATATATATATTAGACATATATATATTAGGCATATATATATATATATATATATATATATAAATATATATAGACTAGATGGATGTTCGCACGCAATCCGGGCAAGTTGATGATGTGTCCTGCCTCCTGCACCTCCTTATGTCTTCATTTCACCGATTTGTTGGATCTCTGCGCATTGGAGCGATCGGATGTTTCTACGTACTTCTTCTGATGACGTGGACGAGCGCTGGTGTTCAGGCGGCCACCTCATCGTTCCATGACACCATACCTCCTCCTCCTCCTCGTTCTCCTATTAGTCCAGCTGCTGACGTGGCGCCGGGACGCGGGCTCCTCTCAATGCCCTCCAGCAGAAGGCATGTGTTACAGGTCGAGACAAGGGATCTGTCTTCATCTCCATCATCGSGATCGGCGGCTTCGTCGTCGGCTGCTCCGCCTTTGCCTGCGGCGGCTTCGTCGGCGGCCGCCCCGGCCGCCTCCGACCCGACTCCTCTGCCGTCTAAACTCGTTCCTCGCAATCGGACTTTGTTTCCCTCGAGCCGCCTGGTGTGGTCCCACCCTGCCGTCCMTCCGTTCCTGCAATCGTCGASCMCCAAGTATTGGTGCCGCCCTRCTGTCTACGACTTAGTSGTTGCTTCGCAGAACACGGCACTTTACGTCATRTTCTGGGAAGYCTGCTACTTRAACGRCGAGCTCTCTCATCAGCGCRAGTCATTSTGGAAAGTCGATCTCSGTGAAGTCGGTAATGAAAGCCATCCTCCTGATGGGCWGTTGCTCAGCTACTGGTGGCCTTTCGGYGCGGGAAACGGTTCTGCTGTTGACACCCCAYTCATCCAGTACGCTGGCCCAAATGACACCGTTTCGATGGCCGACGTTTGGGCGATRGATGTGACGCGAGCGGGCGATAGTCTTGTGCTCTTGTCCWCCCCAACAACGGGGGAGGACAAGTACTCGAAGATTTTCGCCGTGTCCACAAACAACGGCAGTAGAACTTCTACCTCCCTTCCCTTAAGCGGCGCCTCCTGTCAAATCTTCAATCCGAACGGGACGCGTCTGTACGTAGCTCTTGGTAGTGMACCCATTTCCRTCGWAAGCGCTCCTGTGGAGGAGTCCGGAGGGGCAGGGATCCCGATGGACGGCGCGGAGTGGACTGACGTGAGGAGATTCCCTCMAGGGGGGGATCCCGATATCAAGACCGTCAGCTTCAGCTCGCAGAGCTTTTCCTCGGACGAGCGCTGCCTCTATTTCMTGGACCCCGACAACCTTCGTGTGTGGGGAATCGATCCCCTTACCTCTGCTGGYACCGCSCCCCCCCCCGTGCTCATCGCGGGATCCGGATCGAGAGGACTGGGCGATGGGGACGGACTCAACTCGTCCTTCAACAACTTGACGGACATGGCCGTCACTCCCGACGGCTGCAACATCTTCGTCGTTGATTACTGGTACGGTTTGCTTCGCTGGCTGCAGCTGGACTCACCCTGCTCCGCGGCTCGCACGGTGCTGACGCTGGAAACTTTCCCAGCGGTGCGTATCGTCCGGCTAGGTCAATCCGGCAGCGACTACTACCTGTACATCGGGACGGAAGACGGCTCCGTGACTGAGCTGAAGATCAATGCCTCTCAGCTTCACCCTTGTGCTCGAGAGCGGCCATCGCAAGCCGGGATCTCGGCGCCTTCGTCTAACCCGACCACCGCCCCCACGCCTGATCCGAATGCCCCCTCGCTTCACTCGATCTCCCCCTTATCTGCCTCTTCTYCCTCTCCCTCTTTCCGGTCTAGCGAGCCCTCTGCGGCTCCAACAAAGCCGAGAGAAACTCGCAATCTAGCCCTAGTCGTAGCTCTCCCGGTCTCTGTTCTCGCAGTCCTTGGCGCGGCCGCTTGCGCAAGCTTCCTCATATTATACAGCAAGAGACGGCTCGGCGGGCCTAAAGACGTCCAGGTGACGACCGACTTGAGGACGAACGGCAGCGGCGGGTCCACGATTCSAACGACTCCTTCGTCGTCGGCGGTAGCTGGGGGRAAAGCGGARGGGCTTCATCCKTCGCAGGTAAAGCAGTTCTCGTTTGCAGCTCTGTCCTATTGCACTCAGAACTTCAGCGACGGCTACCGCATCGGAGCCGGTGGGGCGTTTGGTAATGTCTACTGGGGTTCCATGGATGACGGCAAGGCGTTGGCGATCAAGGTCATGACAGGCGATCTGACAGAGGGGAAAAGGAGCATGTTTCTGGCGGAAGTTAACACGCTCAGCAGAGTCCATCACGCCAACCTCRTCCGGCTCGTTGGATTCTGTCTCGAGGGCAAACGGTCGATCTTGGTCTATCCCTACTTTCCAGGGGGGAGCTTGTTCGCTCGTCTGCACGAGAGAGAGAAAGCCGTGCCGGSGAAAGCTTCGATTCCGCCGCTGACTCTGGTGGAGCGGATGTGCGTCGCCTTGCAGATCGCTAAGGGCCTAGCCTACCTTCACGAGGGTGCCGACCCGCCTGTCATCCATCGGGACATCAAGAGCAGCAACGTGCTGCTTGGCGATGGCTCYGGGGAGAAGTTGCACGTGGTGGTGGCAGACTTCGGCCTCGCGACTATGGGAGAGAGAGTGTTCGGCACGGAGCGTGAGTCGGTGGTGAAGACCTCGCACATGGCGGGCACGTTCGGGTACATGGCGCCGGAGTACATGATGGGAGGAATTCTGTCGGAGAAGAACGACGTGTACGCTTTCGGCATTATCCTGCTGGAGCTGCTGACGGGCCGGAAGGCCGTGGCAAAGGCACCCTCTGGGGGGGGGTGGGAGACCCTATCGGACTGGGCTAAGCCGTTGCTTAAAAAACTACACGTCGTTGGTGACGAGATGGCGTACCAAATTCTGGCCCCTTGCCTGCGTGATCAGGCGGCGGGATTCAGGTTCAGCCGTATGGTTAGCGAAACGCTGCTTTTGGCCAGCGAGTGCATACGAGAGGACGATCAAGCCAGGCCAACGATGTGCGGATTGGTGGAGAAGATAGGCAATCTCCTCAATGAAGCGCAGATCAACGTCAGGCAAACGAAGCACTGACCGTTTTCATTAATGGCGGGAAAAGTAAGTCATTATTGACTGGAAGGAGAGAGAGATCTCATCATGAAGCTCATGACTGGCGAAGAAGTCATCCCAGAACTCGCGATGGCGGATCCCTCTCGTTAGTGGCAGGACGGAGAGGTAATCTGCTCGCATGAAGTGTAGGTCAACGTCAGTCAAACGAAGCGCTGATCACAGTGAGAGAACTCATCATGAAGCTGATGAATGGCGAAGAATCGATGGACACGTGGCAGGTTATCATGATCCTAGTTTTTAATTTTTTTTTACTCTTCTCTCAATTTTCCTCACACTACCTACATACCACTCCCCTACTTATAGGCATACGGGGAAACCGTAGCATACCAGAGCCGTGTTCTTACGGGCCCTCGAGCCTGCAGGATACCGGCCAGGGGAAGGCCGGTAGCACCAGGGATAAAGCGGACCAATCCCCCGTGCCTCCCCTCAGGCCCCTCCCCTTCGAACATAGCAGACTCTGCTTGATGCCAATCGGGGGATCCAGTGGTCTATCTCTTGGGTAGCGGGTGCCAAGTAAGCCCAGGAAGGTACATGAGGCCAATGGGGATTGAACCCATGACCTCCTGAATGCCACTTGCGAGCCTTACCAACTGAGCTAGGCCGCTGGATCATGATCCTAGTTTGCTTACAGCCCATTCGATTCCAAATGTCAACTGACGTTGGACCCAGTTTCCAGCAGGTGTTGCTCCCCACCAATAGATGGGCCTTCCCGAGCATGCTAGTGATGTCTGCTCTTATCAGCACCCCCAGCATTCATTCGGATTGTTTTCATAAAAAAAAAAAAAAAAAA